AGTTTTTCATAATCTTTTTCTTTTCTTGGGGTGTTTTTCGTAAATATCTTTTGAAGATATTTTATTTTAGGGGTTTTTAAGAAAATATTTTTGAAAGATATTTTCATTCTAGGTCATTAGTGCAGTTTTCACTTTTTGGATGGGCCATTGTGCAATTAATGAAAGTTATTGCAAAAATGCCTCATTTTGAGCTTGGATCCTCGTACAGGATTCATTTTCACATTTCGTTGAGTTGTGTACTCTTAGAATTTCCTTCTAATCATTTTTCTCTAGTTTCAAGGTTTCTGGCCCCGATTGCCACCGAACTTGTTCGGGGCATATCTCTCTGCTCGGAACTCGGTTTTTGATGTCGTTTCTTCCATTGTTTATATTTTCTTATTTTGGTTTTTTTCATTCACAGAGTTTTGTCGTTCGAGCGCGTCTGCTTAAATTCAACTTTTCCGAACCCGGCAGGGCCCTTTCGGAGCACTTTTTGAGATTTCTATAAATAGGTTGCCTTAAATTTTAAAATCAGATTTTTCAGACCTTCTTCCTCCTCTTGGCCAGCAGCCATGGGAGCCCAAGGGGCTACCTTCACTCTTTCTTCTCCTCCACTTGATTTCCTTGGTAGAGAGTCTTCGGCTTTAACATTTATTGTAGGTCTCGTCGTGCTCTACTTTTTCCCTTTATTAGAACCCGTTTTTGGCCAAATTTTGAGTTTGTGTTTGAAGTCAAGTTGTGATTTTGATAGGGCTTCCTTGGGATTTTTGTTTATCGTGTTGTCCCCGACAAAACCCCGAAGTATCGTCGAATTCGGAACACTTTTCTTTCGGTGGGGATTTGAGATTTTTATCTCAAATTGAGGTAGGGGATGTCTTAAGTTTATATTAATGTTGTATTGATGATTTTAGAAGTTATACAACTTGTATGCATGTTTTAATTCAAGCTCTAGAATTTTATTTAATTATTTTCTATGTTTAAGATTTAATTCTCATGATGCTATACAACTTAGAATTAAATTGTGGCATGCTAGAAAATTAAGCATTGGTATGGTTGTATACATATATTAAATTGGGATTATTTGAATGAGAATTGCAACTTTTAATTAATATTTTTCTTTGGTGAAAGTTTAATTTACATAGATGTAACTTGTATGAAATAAGCTTGTAATGTGATATTACAATAGGTCTTGGCATGTTCCCTAATATATGTTAAATTGAGAACATTTGAATAAGTTTAAAAATCTAGAGATTTTAATTAAAAGAATTAATTAAAATTTATTTAATGGCTCCATTAGCCTAATTAAGTTTTTAACCCGATGTTTGTGATGACTAGCATATATTAATTTGGGACCATTTGATGTTGTTTTAGAATTTAGGGAATTGGTTATTATGATTTAATTAAATTCCATTTTTTATTGTTCCAATGGCCTAATTCAGTTTTTGAATTGATATATGTAATGATCAAGTTATATGGTATAACATGTATTAATTATGGATCATTTGGTTGAGAATTGAAACCTAGGGAAATTAATTAGTTTATTTTATTAATTTACATTTCTTTTGTGTTAAGGATTTAATCATGTATTTGACGTTGGTTGTATGTTTAAATCATGATTTTGGATTTGCATTAAGTTTATGAGTTTATGTTTTCAATATTGAATGATATTGCCATAGCGTGTAACGAATCGCACACTAAAGATTCGACATTTGTTATTCCTTAGTAGTTGTGGACTTAGAGCATGTATTGTATATGTTTCCAAATTTGGTTGTGTATGGTAGATAGTTGATTATATTATATATACATGTTGATATATACGTTGTTGCATAACTTGTTGATTTTGGAAACTTGGGGATGTCGTTGTTTGACTATGGCTAGGACATGGTTCTTATACGAGGGATTGTCCCTCTACAGTCTAGTGCGCACATAGGGAGGTTTACCATGGGCTAGTAACCCTAAAGTAACTATGGTGTCGGTCTGATCCGGGGTGACGTCCAAGTATCCACTTTTTTTAATTTCGCATTTCATTTCAAGTTGATAACTAGATGATATTGTAACTTGTTGCTCCTTAGTTGATTTTCCGTTTTGAGTTTCAACATGTTAACTTAGAGAAATCATGCTTATGCGTTGTATTGGAAGTTTCAATGTTGGTTAAATTGCATCGATATTGTGATTTGTGTTTTGACATTCAAATGTAACTTAGGAATGATCCTATAAATTCATTTAAACATAGACGTTAGGTGGCATAATCCACTTTAGTTGTTTTAGTGTTTTAGATTTCAAGTTGAAGACTTTGAGTACCTATATCTTGTTGCCTTGTATAACATGCTTCTATTTTGTTTAAATTTCAAGGATGATGTGATTTATGATATAAATGATCTAAGGTAGCTTAGGATGCTCCCTGAGTCTCATCTTGACATAGACGTTAGGTGGCATGAGCCTCTTTAACATGTTTCACCTTAAGGTGATATAATTATAAAATGCTAGGTCGATGCATGCTCATCGCCTACGAGTAGCTTTATGTTACTCACCCACATTGTGAGGACATTTTTTAGGTACAGGGACCTTGATTTGGGATGCACAATAAGCCATTGAAGTTTCGTAGATTTGAAGTATCATTTTCATGAAAATGTTGGCATGAAATCCTTTTTGTAGCTTTATGTATCAAAACTTGTACCTTTGATTCCATTTATATAATGTGTACATAAGTACACTCTTTTCAATGTATTTGATATATATGAGATGAGGCTAGAGGCCAATGACATGTATTTTGTATTCTATGCACTTTCGTTGATAAGGTTCATTATGAAAATATTGAAAAATCACGAGTTATTGCTCCATAACTTTTGCATCGGGTGTGGGAATTTCATTCTTTTTCTTTCATAGGGTCTCCATGACCATGCATGAGGTGTGGCCAAGAGCCAAACCATAATTGAAATTTATGTATATTCATAAATGTTGAAAATTACCTTAATGGGAATATTATGAAAACTATGCGTTTTAATATGTCATTTATGCACCGGAGTATGCATTGGGTATGAAATTTATTATCTAGCATTCATTTAATATGTTTGAGGTGTGGCCAAGGGCGAAACACTATTTCTTTTTCATTTTTGCACTTTCGTTTCATACTTTGCATTTTGAGTTAAAATAGGAAAATCCGAGCCTTTAAGGGTTCATTTCCAAATCGGGTGATGCAAAATGTGCACGAGCACATTCATTAGGACTTACTTAATATGCATGAAGTGTTGCCAAGGGTCAAATGGTAATTTGAAATCATTTGTTAATTTTAGTTTTCAAATTTCCCATTTCTAGTTTATTTTTGCCTTTTTGGCCGTAGGGGGGTCGAATTTTGCATCGGTAGTATTTTTAAGCCGTAGACCATTGTAACACATCCTAATAGGTAAGTTACGTTTGCGTGCGTGATCGTTTTCAAGAAAAACCTCATCCGTCCCTAATAAGGTACGAAACTGTCCCTAAAAGTACCAAATCCGTCCCTAAAAGTCAGTTTGGACCGTCACTAAAAGTTGCGTGCCAAAAGAGCTTTAGGGACGGTCAAAGACCGTCCCTAATACTTTTGACCTTTTGGGACAGTCCAACCTGTCCCAAATAACATCGTCCCTAAAACTTTTTAGGGACGGCCAAGACTGTCACTAATAAGGTACGAATTAGGGACAGTTTAAATGACTGTCCCCAAAAACTAGAGTATTGGGGACGGACAGACCGTCCCTAATACATAATTTTTCAATTATAATTATTGTATTAGGGACGGACAGACCATCCCTAATAGATTATTTTAATTATATATTTTAATATATTATTGTATTAGGGACGGTCAGACTGTCCCTAATACATTATTTTTAATTATATATTTTAATATATATTGTATTAGGGACGGTCAGACCGTCCCTAATATATTATTTTAATTATATATTTTAATATATTATTGTATTAGGGATGGTCAGGACCGTCCCTAATACATTATTTTTAATTATATATTTTCATATATTGTATTAGGGACGGTCAGACCGTCCCTAATAGATTAATTTAATTATATATTTTAATATATTATTGTATTAGGGACGGTCAGGACCGTCCCTAATACATTATTTTAATTATATATTTTACTATATTATTGTATTAGGGACGGTCAGACCGTCCCTAATACATTAATTTAATTATATATTCTAATATATTATTGTATTAGGGACGGTCAGGACCGTCCCTAATACATTATTTTAATTATATATTTTAATATATTATTGTATTAGGGACGGTCAGGACCGTCCTTAATACATTATTTTTAATTATATATTTTCATATATTGTATTAGGGACGGTCAGACCGTCCCTAATACATTAATTTAATTATATATTTTAATATATTATTGTATTAGGGACTGTCAGGACCGTCCCTAATACATTATTTTAATAATATATTTTAATATATTATTGTATTAGGGACAGTCAGACCGTCCCTAATACATTATTTTTAATTATAATTATTATATTAAACCGTATATATATATATATATTGTATGCTTAATTTGTGAATTTAACCATTCCGGATACATACATACAAAACATATACAAAATAGATCCACAATAACATTCAAAAAAATATTACTATCCATAGAATAAAATCAATCCACAATATATATATTCAAGATCCATAAAATATAAAATCTCTAGTTTGCTAAACAAAAACTAAAACCATGTGGTAGCACAAAAAATTGTTCCATCCTCTTCAAGATCCATTATTAATTCTATTGGTGGTTGTGGTGGTGCTTGCTGGTGAGACCATGTTGGTGGCGGCAGCTGATATTGCCATCTTGTTGTTGGTGGCGGCTGCTAAAAATACAAGTCTGCTGGAGGTGGCAGTGGTTGTTGATGCCAATTTGGTGCGGTTTGCTGCTGTTGGGAATCTGATGGAGACTGTTTTTGGTGGAACCATGGTGGCGACTGCTGCTGCTGTTGGAATTGGAGGAACCATGGTGGCGGCTGCTGCTGCTGCTGCTGATATTAGAGGAACCATGGTGGCGGCTGTTGTTGGTACTGCTCAAGCATCTTCTCAAGTTTTTCCATTTTTTCCGCCGTTTGTACACTTCTTTCTTCAGCAATTTCGGCCCTTTTCCTAGAAGCCTCATCATATGATGAAGAGGCACGCTGACGCTTTGGAGCCACGAAACCATGTCCGAATCCACGGCAATATCCCTTCCTTATGCCTAGTTGGTTTTGTACTATCTCAACATCATTTATGGATGGACTCGTACCATCAGAATTTTGAGAATTTTGTGCAGCCTTTTCTTTCATTGCATCCTGCAAAATATTTAAGTTCACTATCAAATTTAAAAAATATGGCATAGGAATAAATCAAGTAATAACAGAAAATGTAATCACACATGCACCAGCACATAAAAATAGAGAGATTAAAGTGATTCGGTTTATAACATGCGCGCATACAGTAAACAATGGCATTTCTTGTATGCCATTTCTTGTATGACATGCTGTTTCTCAACAAATAGAAAAAAAATTTGTACATTTAAATAAATTTAAGACTCACTACTGTCTAAATTATTGTTAGAAACTTTGTGGGTAGTTGGTGCACCAGAAAAATATTAGCAAACAAACCATGGGTTTGACATAGCTAATTTTTTCACAAAAACTCTCTATTATCATTATAATGTGGTCTGATACGAGTTTAACACACAAAAAGTATCCATCACTGCAAAATGGCTGATCAAATCATTAAGGTTCTGGTAGTTTAATAGATTAGAATGGCACCAAAACGCAAGGCACTTTCTGTAACTTGCAACTCTAAGGCACTTTCTTAAACATGGTAAATGGCTGCCCATGTTGTCCCCGTTGCAAGTTGTGCGATTCCATCACCCACATAGCCAAATTTGATATGAAAAAGGAATGATGCATTTTGACATTTAGTAGAAACCAACTATCTCTCCAAAATCCTAATGGTGGGCTCTGGGGCCACAGTGAAGTTCCAATTTTGTTTTTCCAGTCTTTTTGTGCTCTGGAGTTGTTTGGTAAAATAAAAGAATAAGCGTAATGTTTTATATTAGCATAACCAAAAAAAAAAAAAAAAAGAGAAGGTATTTGAATGAGTGCATTTGGGAGTCCATGTATTGACCTTATAAATCTGAAAAAGATGAACATCAACCTATATATATTTTTCTAATAAGCTAAAAAAAGCTTTTCGCTCATCATATGAATATATATATAAAAGCTAAAAAAAGCTTTTAGCTCGTCATATATATATATATATATATATATATATAAATACGTTAATTGAATAATAAACTTAGAATCTCCTATCACTATTAATGATAATAAAGTCAATCGTGCAAACACAATATGGTTGGAGACATACGACCTATAAGCTCCAAGAGTCCCTAAAATAAATGAGTCGACTTCAAGATCTTCATGTCAACTTGATTTTAGAAGCTAAACCCATCAACCTAATTATGATAAGGTTGGTTTAGGAAAGACAGACCCAATGACTTATGGATTGAATTGAACTTAAGTTTTCCACTCTTTCTATCAAGGTCCCAAGGTTTGATCGAGCAGTTTTGCCCCAACATGAATTCAGTTTGACCTTTAGTAGAAACATTGATTCATATAAATGAAATGATTATATCTACTGCAAAAAAGCCACTCTGGGCGTCTGAAATGACAACTTGACATGAATGGAATCCATTTATTGAGCTGCCCAAATTTTAAGTTGATGTGTAATATGAATAACATATAATAGAGTCCACAACTTCCGATTCCGAGTGCAGAGACGCAGATCAAAGAGGAGCAAGGAATTAACCCTGTGAGTCTCTCATCTCTCTCTAAAATGTGTATGTGTGCGTATGTATATAATTTTCTGATAGATGCAATTCCAAAAAGTGTATGTGTGTGTATATATATAATTTCACATAGATATATAGGTTAAAATGTCATAATAGTTGAGGTTACAGACTCACAGAGTAGTTGAAACTGCAGAGCAAATTAATTAAGAATATATTGTGTGCCATTTCTTAGAATATGCAAGACCAGTGATGTATATATAAAATCACATATGCGTATAAATAGAAGAAATTTTGATAGTTGAGATTATTGAGTGCAGATAAATCTACAGAGCAAATTAATCAATTTAGAGTTTTTATAATCTCAATTTTGTAGTCCGAAGAAAAAGAAAAGAAAGAAGAAGGTAGTTAACCTGATACAGGGCTAGAATAAGTTGTAGATTGTCTTTTCTGTAGTGCTTGGAATGAGAATGAAATCCCATTTATAGGAGTGACATGTCTAGAAATAGTTGAAGCTATTGCTAATGAGATAGGAGCGAATAGACTAGGAATAAGGCTCTCTCCCTTTGCAGATTTTATGGAATCCGGAGACTCAAATCCAGAGGCTCTTGGCCTCTATATGGCTGAAACATTGAATAAATATGGCATTCTCTACTGTCACATGGTTGAGCCTAGGGTGAAAACTCGAGGAGAAATATGTGATCTAAATTCAGCTCCTCCCTCTCTGTCATCTAAATTCAGCTCTCAAAAAGAAGAGAAACCAGCCAGGAACACCAGGCAATGCCAATCTTTATGAATTTAGGGGTCCTACAAAGGAGATTTGATATCTCATAAAATGCAGTTAATTTAGATTTGAAGATCTAAAACAATGTCTGGAAAATATTTGATGATCTAATAATGTCATAGGTAGACATATTGATGTAATAAGTAAATATTGATTCTCTACTATCCCAAAACTAAGCTACTAAACTTATAACAATAAATCAGATTTTGATTTCTTGTCTATTTAATTCAAGAAATTAACTAATAAAATATAACATGACGCTCCAAGAGTATCTAGGACAGCTTCTACTGAAGTTGTGTGTGTGTGTGTGTGTGAGAGAGAACAAATACAGCTCAGGATATAGTGGAATGACAACAGGATCTGCAGCTGACCCCATCTAAATAGAGGAATATGCTTTATATATAAGATAACCTTCCTACAGGAGCTGATCGATAAAGTAGCTTGAAGCCTTCATATCACATAATTAAACTAACTAAAAGGAAGAGAATAAAAAAGGGAACAACAATACTTACCAAAAAAAAGAGGTCACATTCATCTTTTCTTTAACACTCCTACAAATGGGATTTTATGTTTTTGGTGGATTTTCAAAGTTACAACCACCCAAACATAATAAAAGAGTACGGATAATTATATATTATATATATGTGCAACCCCACATAAAGCTTATGACATTAAAGTGCTTGCTTCATGGAAAATCACTTCTCACTTTCTCTACATATATATTTAGATAATCATAAAACATAAAAGTGTGTGTATATATATATATATATGTAACAACCACACATAAACCTTATGCATAAAAGGGCTGCTTCATGGAAAATCACCTCACTTTCTCCACACCCCCACACACAAACAAACAGACAGACAGATATATTCATATATATATATAAATGGGTCACTACTTGTTAGAGCAAAGTGAGGCTTCCATTTACAAGCTATTCCATTCTCTCTCTTCTCTCTCCTGCTGGGTAGCAGACTAATCAGTTCTCTAGATACAAGCTATTCCATTCTCTCTCTTCTCTCTCCTGCTATAGGTATAATTTTCAGTTACAACCAAGATTGACGAAACCCTAATTAAAATTAATCTTTACTCTAAACAAGTTTTAATTCAAGAAACCCCAATTAATGGACTGATTCATTAATTTTCATGATACATCCAAAGATCTCATGTATGTATTTAGTAGAAGTGGAAATTTTAAAGAATGTGAGTCAAGACAGAGATGGTGAGGGGTTTCTAGACTTGAAGTATCTTGGAGTTATGGAATGTAAGGGGATAGAACATTTATTTGGCATGAGTTGTTATTAAATCTCCAGATTTCTACCCTAGATATAAGACACATATCTGAACTATGCAAAACAGATAAATTACAAATCCAACACAATCAATCAATGTGGACAATATTATGAGATCCAAATTTCATAATCTAACATGCTAGCTTATAGTTAACTTACAAAATTCCTCTTAGCTTTCTCGTGTGCCCATCCACCTTGTTCCTTAAAATGTGTGTCCTTGTACAAACGAATAGCAGGATCCTCTTCCCTTTCACCGTCCTCATCTTCTTGGCTCTGCCTTTCTTTGAGTTTGACCTATAGTACAAAGTAATAGTGACTATTAGACAAATATATGATTTAGAACGTAGAATATAAAATAAAAAATTTATAATTATTGTTTCGTATATTACGCACATAATCATCGTAACGTCTGGCGAAGGACATTGATCCAGAATAATGTGGAACCTCATTCTTGGAACGATTTTCTTTATTTTTTACACTTATTTCCTAAGTAGTAATTTAAACAATATTACAAGTTAGGAAACCTAAATAACTAGTGAATGAAGTTATTATATTAAATAGTAAAAACAAGTAGTTAAGAAATTGAACCTGAAATTTAGGTGACATCCACGTATCACACAATTTTTCCCAAACAGCATTACCAATACCATTGTAAGGATGGCGGCGTGCATTCTCAATCGGAAAATGCTCTTCAAAATGACACTTCAATTTATATCTATATTTCCTCAACGCGCTAGAAATTCCCATATTTACTCGCTTAAAATCAATGTCATTTGCATATGCATCCACTCCAAAGACCTCCTTTATAATGTAAAATTAAAGTAAGCTATAATTTATAACCAATTGGACCAGTAATCTCTGATTTTTTTTTAACAAAACAAGCATTAAATGATGGTTATCATTACCTTCAAATGGTCATAGCAGACCTCTTTCTCAAAATCTGGAACATCCCTCCACGTTTTATACTTTAGAAGGGCTTCGGTATCTCGTGTATTAATGCCAACCTCAGCCGTCCATAATTTGTTATTTAAACCAACAGGTTTAATATAACCCTCTGCCAAACTCAATTGGAACTGGCCAATTGTTTTCATTAATTTTGTGCAAGGCTTCATTTTTTGCTCTTCCACGCCCTTTTCGTATCGGACCTGAAAAACAAATTTATCATCTTAATTAAAGCGTAGGCATTTTACAAAAGAACTTATAGTTAATCAATGATGAAGCATAATTACCTCCACTTGGTTGTGGCCCTATCTGCTCATTACTACCATCACCTTCCATTCTTTCATTTGTTGAATTCCTATCTTCACCTAATCCACTTGGTTGTGTAGGAGGTGAACTTGTAGATGGTCGCTCAGTTTCAGCCCTGCGGGACCTTAAAACTCTACGCATCGGTTCCTCAGAGGTGTCCATAATTTAGTTTACAAGCTGATATGAAGAATCAAGTGAAATTAAATCAAAATAAACAAGCATATGCAAAATATATTCTGAGTCATCATGTCATATTTACATAATTCCATTGAATAAAAAATTCAATAATTAGAGGCAATATAACTGAATAGATCACATTAAATATAATCATAAACCCAAAAAAAAAAGTAAATGCTTAAATATAACAATTAATTTAGTCAACCAAATCAAAGCTGCAAATTAATGAAGCATAGAAACAATACTTAAAGAGAAATTTAAACAAAAAGTAACTCAAAAGATAAAGCTCGATAATATAATTCAGCTGGTCACTTAAAGTATTAATCATAAAACAATAAAATGAGGTACATGCTCAAGAATAAAAAGCTTCACATGTCATCCAAATCAGTATCATCGTTAGACATTAATTCTGGTTCCTCATCTGAACTATATTGAATGTCAAGAGCTTCAACATTCTCAACATCCCAAAAGTCATCATTAATGGCTGCTTTACCCCTACATTTTTGAATCATTTCAGCATCAAGAGTTTCACCCTCCAAATCGTCCCTGTTCAAAGGGAATGGATCCATGTCCAAGTCCGCTTCAACAACTCCATCCACGATGCTTGGTTCGCTCTCTTGGTATGCTGTAGTGTTGAGCATCTCATCATGTACTCCTGTTTCACCCTCTTTTTCAGGTACATCAAACGAGCTTCTACTTGTTATATCTTGAACTACCTCCCACGTCCCTTGTAATTTGTTGTCTTTGACATAGAAGCATTGCAATGCTTGATTTACTAACACAAACGGCTGATTTTTGTACGCTCTACTGGCTACATTTACACTTGTGAAATAGGTATCTTTATGTACACCGGTACCAATCCTAACATCGAACCAATCACATTTGAAAAGAAAATTTTTTCTACCCAGAGGATATCTTAACTCAATGATATCTGTTAGGGCACCATAGTAATCTTGGTCTTCTCCTTTCATTAACACGCCACTATTCTGTTTTTGTCGATTTTGTTCCCTTTCCTTAGTATGGAACCTAATCCCATTTACAATACACGCGGAATATCGACTTACTAGACATTGAGGTCCACACGCTAATGAATACATATCATCACAAGTTGTTTCCTTTTGATGATGACGCATTTCCTTTATCTATTAAAAGAAGTGTAGTGTTAAATAAATGAATGACAGTTCATTTTAATTAAATTAAAGAATTTTATTTAATTAAGTACAATAGGTGCATAATGGACTTACTTTTGTTTCGAACCACCTCAAATATTCTTTAGCATGTCTTTGAGGAACATTGCGCGGATTTTCTCTCTCAAGTTCTACCTTGTGTTTTCTAAACAATTACATTATGTTAATGATACAATTGTATACATGTATTAAGAAATAGACTATATATTCATAGAAACTGACAAGATATGACATGCAATGAGTTACTTACTCTTCATATGACAAAACATCTTCACAATTCTGTAAAACGTACAATCGGGCCATCTCTATGTCCGCACGGGGCAATATATCCGAACTTTGTGCTCCTATCGGTCGAACCACTTGCTTTAGATCATAAAATGTGGACCAATTATTGTTGTAGTTCCCCTCACTATTTCTTTCTTCTCTATTGAACCTTGTCTCAATCCCTCCGAGAAATTTTGAACAAAATGTGAGGCACTCATTGTCCACGTAAGCTTCCGCAATGGACCCTTCCAGACGTGCTTTGTTACTGACGTACAATTTGAGAGTATGCAAAAATCTACATAACCGTTAATCAAACCAATAATATTTAATAACAAACTAATAAAACTTGTTAAAAAAAATTGTTGGTTTACTAAAAATATACAGCACCTTTCAATCGGGTACATCCATCGATATTGTGCAGGGCCTGCAATGATGGCTTCACGCGGCAAATGCAGAGCCAAGTGCACCATAATGTCAAAAAATGACGGAGGAAATATCATCTCTAACTTACTTAGTATAACAGCAATGTCCCTTTCCATTGCCTCTAAGACATCCACTTTGACAGTTCGACAACACAATTCCTTGAAGAATAAACCAAGCTCAGCTATTGTGTTACAAATATCTGAATTTAAGAATCCTCGTATAGCAATAGGGAGGAGACGTTGTAAGAGAATGTGTGAATCATGACTTTTCAATCCAGATATCTTACAATTATTAACATTCACACACCGACTTATGTTCGATGCATAGCCATCTGGAAACTTAACTGATTTTAGCCATTCACATAGTTGTCTTTTATTATTCTTTGACAATGTGTAGCGCGCTTGTGGCATCTCAAATTTTTCATCATTACGTCTCAAGTGGAGTTCTTTTCTAATCCCAATTGCTTCTAAATCCAACCGACTTTTGAATGTGTCCTTAGTTTTCCCTTCAATGTCCAATAATGTCCCCAACACACTATCGCATATATTTTTCTCTATATGCATAACATCCAGGTTATGCCGCAACAAAATGGTCTTCCAGTAAGGTAGTTCAAAGAAAATACTCTTCTTCGTCGAGTTAAGTTCAAATTCCTCACGAGTTCGCTTCTTTTTATTTGGCCCCTTTCCGAAACTAACCTCGGGTATGAGGTTAAGTTGTTCCAGAATATCATCACCCGTCAACTGCTTTGGTGGCCCTTTGTCTTCACTTTTGCCATTAAATTGCTTGTGATGGCTTCTGAAAATGTGATCTAATGATAAAAACATATAACTTCCCAAGTAGCATATCTTACGTCCGTGTTTCAAAAAACAAGAACATGTTTCTTTGTTACAATTCGGACATGCTAGATAACCCTTTGTCATCCATCCAGATACCATCGCATAGGCGGGAAAATCACTAATGGTCCAAATCATTGCCGCATGCATTTTAAAGTTACATTTACTGTACGCGTCATATGTCATCACACCATCCCGCCACAATTCTTTTAACTCTTCAACCAAAGGTTGCATGTACACATCAATATCATTACCAGGCGATGTTGGACCAGGAATAAGCAACGACATAAATATATATGGCTCCTTCATACATATCCAAGGTGGCAAATTGTAAGGCACAATCATCACAGGCCACATACTATACGCATTGCTCATATTTCCAAATGGATTGAATCCATCAGTTGCTAATCCAACACGAACATTACAAGGATCAGCAGCAAACCAACTATGCTTACTATCAAAATCCTCCCAAGCTTTTGAATCAGCTGGATGTCTTAACTCATTTGTCTCTTTCACACGTTTCTCCTTATGCCACCGCATATCTAAGGCTGTATCCTTTGACATAAACAACCGTTGAAGTCTTGATTTCAATGGGAAGTGCCGGAGAACCTTTTGAGGGATTTTCTTACCCTTACCTTCGTGAGGTTTATACCTCGATTCACCACATTGTGGACAATTTTCTTTACTTGCGTTTTCCCTCCAAAATAGAACACAATCATGTTTACATGCATGTATACAATCATATCCGAGACCCAAGTCTCGTAACAAGCTTTTAGTCTCGTAATGAGACTTTGGTAACACATTATTATCGGGAAGCATATCCTTAAATGCATCAAGCATCATGTCAAATGATTTGTTGCTCATTCGGCTTGTAACCTTCACATGGAACAACTTTAATATCACTGACAACTTAGAGTATTTTTCACAATCTGGCCACAATTCACATTGTGCATCATTTAACAATCTATCAAAGCTTCCTCCTCCAAGCGAATCTTCTTGTTGTGGTGCATTAGAGAAGTTTCCCATTTGTATGTTATCCAACAATTCAAACATATTATCTACATTTCCATCTTCATCGTGGACATTTTCCCTACTGACATTAGCATCAATATTAACATTATTGTTGCTTTGACGAGCCTCCCCGTGATATATCCAATTGGTATACCCCTTGTCCATCCCATTTCTCAAGAGATGCTGCTTAACTTCTTCAATTTGATGATAAGTCCTATTTTTGCAACGACGACATGGACATCGGGACCTACCGTCTACTTCTGCATAACGCCTAGCCACATCAATGAAGTCATGTATGCCATCAAAATACTTTACACTTCCCCTAGTGTGATTATGAATCCAAGACTTATCCATGTAACTGCTTAAATGTACACAAAAAAAAAAGAAAAGAGAAAAAAGAAAAAAAAGAACATATATCCATCAAGAGTTAATAAAGGATATATATATATATATATATATATATATATATATATATGTATGTATGTATATAAGTGTGTGGAGCTCATTATGGAAGGAACAATGAATGAGTGTAAGAACCGTCTTATCATTTCTTTAAAATAGAACCAAAAAAAGAAAAAGAAAGAGTGAAATACAATTAAAGAAAATTGAAAGACATAGTAATTAAGAAATGGAGTTTCTTCATACTATGTTGGTTCACTGCCATGGTCACATGGCATTAGTATTGTAGACACTGGTAGGTATAATTTCCTAGATCTATCTTCTGACCTAGTGAAAAGAGGATGATAGAGGAAGATTTAGATGCACTTTAGATGTTTTGGGTGTATGCAGGTTGTATAGACATAGATGTCTTTCTGGATATTCATGAAATTGGGGAACCCTTAGCTCTAATTAGAGATGAGGGTGTTAAAGAAATGGAGGTGTAGATCTTGGAAGTTGTGTAGATGATAAGGGTTTCCAGAATGGGAGAGCACATAATAGAATTTCCCTGTAATTCTATTGGTTTTTTTGGTAATTGAAATTTGTTAAAGTATTTTTTCGCTGTATTTTTATTTTTATTTGGTTAACTGTTTCATTATTAATTTGAGTTCATGTAATGATGGTGTTGGATAACATTAGATGGATATAAAATGAGTGATGGAATGGAGATTTAAATCTTTATTCAGTATAAATATATGATTGATTCTATTCTAGGTTGTATAACAGTGGAAAAGAGTAATCATGTCATTTTTTGTTTTGTTTTTACTTCTTCAGTTTCAATGACATCTTCTCTGGCAATCTCTCCTAATATTTCTGAGAAATTAATGGT